TTAAATTTTTGGGCAACCTTCAATTTAAGCAAACTAATGATACATGTCTAAATGTGAATTTCAAACTTCAACTTGTGTTGAAGATTTCAACTACCGGTACCTCGGACTTACACCAAATTTTCGTTGCAATTCTTCCTTGATGAAAGTCGTTGCATTTTTTCTCGACATTAATGACGGCAATTCAAGATTCACAAGTATGGGCGGTACGGCCGCTTAAATTGTTAGAAGTTCGCAAGTGTAAAGTGGTTGACAACTTTTTCATCTTTCTGAGCCTTCAAAGTTTGTTCGCGGTAATGAGAGGCTGCCATGAATGCAAGAAGCGCTTGTAACAGCTACATGTTTGTTGTACATTTGCTGTGCAGTGGAAAGGAACTTAGTTGTAACAGCTACAGAAGCGTTGTTAAATAGACTTTAGGATCTATATTTTTTCAAACGTTGAAGTAATTTGAATAATTTATCAACACGTTCCTCAGAACGCACGTAAAATATTATTCGGGAGTAATATTGACTAGAACTAAGTATTCAGGTTCAAACATCCTCTAACATGATTCGCAATTATGCATTCTCGTTAATCTAGTTTCAATGCATCAATATTTTCTTTCCCTCTTCATTTAAAATTCGAATAAGAATTTAAATCTAAAACGCTTCTCAAGTATATTTTATTATTTTATTTATTTAGCATTTATTTGTTTATTAGACCGCCGGTCCAAGGTCTGGCGTAATCCGCTTAGGTCTAAGACCTTAGACGCAAAAATCTCAGACCATAGTTTTAAGGCGTAGGTCCGCTTAGGATCTCGCGTGGTCAAAAGTAGCGTATACTTGCATGTGCAATAAGACGCGTGTTTCATATTACATGTGCAATAGACTTGCATTTGCAATAAGACGCGTGTTTCATATTGCATGTGCAATAGACTTGCATGTGCAATAAGACGCGTGTTTCATATTGCATGTGCAATAAGACGCGTGTTTCATATTACATAAGCAATAGACTTGCATGTGCAATAAGACGCGTGTTTCATATTGCATGTGCAATAAGACGCGTGTTTCACAAGGCAGGATGGGATCAGTACCCGAGCTATACTACGGGGCTATTGCTCCACCAGCTGCCTTAATAAGTTCCATAAGTAACCTTCATTTTAATAAGTTATTGTTTATGATGCAGAAATTTTGTTTAAATGGGTGAATTATGTTACTCGGAATGCGTACGGTGGCTTTATTTCATATTGAGAAGAAATTCAATGAGGCAAAATTTATTATCGTCAGCCCAATTACCGCGAGGAAAATTCAAATTGCATACAAAGGTTACCCATTATTTTCAATTGGATAAAACTTGTGAATTGTGAAATATTCTAGCGATATGAAAATTCAGGGCTGATGACATGAATTTTCGAGTTGAGAAAAGTGGCGATCTATAATTTCTGTTGAGTTAATAATTATTATCGTTACTGTTTCTGAACCTTCATTACTATTACTATTCGATTACTATTACTGTAATTATTTTCTATTTGTTATTATTACTGCATTCATATTTGTTTTTCAACTTTTATTCGGTCACTATCGGACACATTTGAGCATATTTGAGGAAAACACACTCTTCAAAGCTTCAGCCTATGAATGAAATTCAAAAATGTGATTTCTAAGCACATCTTTTTATATATGGAATGTAATTTTTCCTGTATTTGAAATTTTCACACAATTTTTTATCCAACTGATTAGATATAAAGTCCCGTAAATCCCATTGCGATTCATAACAAACGTGATTGGGAAAGAGATTAGTCGAGTAATCGTGTAAATTGCTGAAAGTTTTCGCACAAAGTTTCTATCCACCTGATTAGATATAAAGTCCCGTAAATCCCATTGCGATTCATAACAAACGTGATTAGTAAAGAGATTAGTCTTGCAATCGTGTAAATAGCATTACGACCAGCCAAAGCTACAGGAATTCACCATTTCAAATTGAAATAAATCCGCTGCGTTCTAACGCTTTTTTCTTCGCGCGAGATGTCGACGCAGCTTTAGTCCAATCAATGGCACGGCTTTGTGCAGACAATCAACAGCCAACAAAATATCCGATGACATATTGGCAGAACTTCAAACATGAAGCCAATAAACGCCAGTAATTAGATTTGCTTCTGAGCCCGAACCGGGAATTACATCGATGAAAAATCCCGCTCCAGTTGCGTGGTGAGAAAATTGCGATATTCTTCACCGGTTTTATCGGTTCTGCCGGGCTCTTCTAACCGTGCAATGAAATAGAACTAGCCTGTGAATTCCTGACTTACGATCCTCTTCCATTGCAGCTGACACTTGCGAAGGGCCTTTCAGTGCCGCAGCTAGTTCGCGGCCGAAATTCGTACAAGCGCTACTGAACGTTGAGTGCGTTTTACGTCTTGCGAAAGATCATGTATAGGAGCCAGAAAGATCATGTATGGCAGCCAGAAAGATCATGTATAGCAGCGAGAAAGATCATGTATAGCAGCCAGAATAGTATATCCTATTTCTAATGTAAACTTACGATTTATAAAATCCAGGGTATAGTTTCTTCATAACGTGTTTTTTCCAAATATGGAACATTATCTAATTTCTTTCTAAAATTTCAGTCATCTATAGATATGTTGCAATAAAGTTTTTATGTTTAGAATTATTCAGAATGAGCTGAAGAATAATTTTCGGATAAAATAAAAATATATTTAGATAGTGCAAAAAACAATATGAGGGAAACTAACTTTAGCAATAAGTTCAAGAGCTAGATAATGATTCTTTTCGAACTTTTCCAATGATCGTAATGTGAGGAAGAGTGAAGCAGATTGAAAAAGAAAACCAGAGCAGAATGGTGATGAAAACTGGTGGTGAATGGAAAGGAAAACAACGATTAATTGATTAATCACTGAGCAATGAAGAAAGCCTATTTCTTCTCGTATTTTTTCGATCATTATTTTTTCCTTGTCTTCGAGAAAGAACTCGAATAAAAGACTGGTGGGTGGAAAAATAGATGTATTTATCGGTACAAACAGCAATATGAGAATATTTAAAAGATTATTACACATGTATTAAAGAATATTATTTCCCTAATTTTTCTCTAACGATCATTAATGTATTATAGAAATATGTACATTTGGGATTTATAATATAGAAGCTGAATGATAGTTTCTCAACAATGTGATGAACTCTCGTCATTTATTTGTATACCGTAGAAATAATATAAAACATTGTTGTTTTCATTGTTAAAGTTGTCGTGTCTTAGAAATCAAAATATCTGCATCCATTTGCTAGTGGTTATAAAAATTCCAAACCTTATAATTTTTTTTGCTCATAATCTTTTCCTCTTTGAAATGTCCATGCGTAATGTCACACGTCTGGATGTATGTATACACATTTCTTCTCCCCATCTTCTCACATGCGGTTCGCATAAATTCGGTGAACATTGAAGAAGTCTACATCACAATTGACTTAATTGTGAATTTTCGGAGTTTTATTTTATTCTTTGTATTTCGTTACAAAAATAAATGCCAAATTTGCAGTTAAATGATCACTAATTTTTTTTATAATTGTGCTCTGTTTTCGAAGATGAAGAAGTTTGAAGATGTTGAGTTAAAAAAAAAACTTGTACAAAAATATTGATCAAACACCATAAATTCCTTATAGTGAACTCAGTGCTGAACAACGCGCGTGCTCCTTAAAATGATCTGCAATTTTCAGCAATAAATTTCGTTATCGTAATTCATGGCGCGGTTGATCGTCTTCCAGTCGGTCGATCAACTTACAGGATTACCGAGGATTTAATCTATCCAGTGCAATGCCTGGACACTGACCACTGACCACCGCACTGGCCACTGACCACCGCACTGACCACCGACCACCGCACTGACCACAACACTGACCATTGACCGCCGCTCTGACCACAACACTGACCACTGACCGCCGCACTGTACGTACTGCCACCGCACTGACCGCTGATTACCGCTCTGACCACTAACCATCGCTCTGACCACTTACCACCGCTCTGACCACTGACCACCGCACTGACCACTAACGGTGGTTAGCTGGTAAAGTGGTTCTTCTACCATTACCAGCTGGTAAAGTTCTTCTACCGTTACCATTAGTGTTTAGTTAGCACAATTAACCATCGCACTGTACTGCCACTTCACTGCTCTAGATCACTTAACGGCACGCATAAGTTGGAACTCGATTACTTCTTCGCGAGCCTTATCATCTTTCTTCAACATCACTTCTTCTCGTGACATTGGTAGCAATGCATCAATTATTCGCGATCTTCTGATTAAACTTGATCACTCTTTCACGTATTATTCGTATTTTTATTTTTTATGAGTAAACTCGATCACTTCTTCGTATATCTTCGGTAAAACTGGGTCAATTATTTGCTTTCTTCAGGTAAAACTAGAACGCTTCTCCGCGTTCTCTGTGTAAAACGCGAGCAATTATTTGCTTTCTTTGAATAAAACTCGATCACTTCTTCGCGGTCCTTTGGTAGGACTGGTTCAATTATTCGCGTTCTTAGGGTAAGTCTCGATCACTTTCTCGGGTTCTTTGTGTAAAACACGATTACTTTTCCGCGTGTCTTCGGTAGATATCGATCAATTATTCGTGTTCTTCGGGTAAAACTTGATTACATGTTCGCGTCCATTTTGTAAAACTCGATCACTTCTTCGCTTATCTTCAGTTGTACTTGATCCATTATTCGCTTTCTTCGAGTAAAACTTGATCAATTCTTCGCGTTCTATGTGTAAAACTCGATCAGTTCTCTGCGTGTTCTCTGTGAAACTGGATCATCCATTCGTGTTCTTCGTGTGAAACTCGATCATTTCTTCGCGTTCTATGAGTTAAACTTAATTATATTTTCGCGTTCTTTAGGTAAAACTCGATAAATTCCTTGCATTCTTCGGGTAAAAGTCTACCCATTGTACGCGAACTCTTATTAGCGTGGCTTAAAATTCAATCTCTTATGAGTGCTCCTTACCTAAAACTTCTNAAGGATGACAGACGTCTGAAATTTTCAGGAGCCAGAATTGACCCGCGAGGCCGCAAACATCTCAGCTGAAGGAGTCGGCACCACGTCCACTCCTGGTGGAGATTGATCAGGAAAAATACTACTGTCACTTGTGATATATTATTAGGAATATCATCAGTTGGATAGAAGCAAGGAATTTAAAAGCAAAGAAAATATCAAGCCAATTCACCATTTATATATAACCCAAATTAACCCAAAGCACCAAATTTATATTCTTTTTGTGACCCCTAGGACTAAGTTGCTCCAATCGAGTATTGTTTTTCGATATAATGTTTGGTCTTGTTTAGGTTTTATGTCTGTCTTAGAATTTTGGCTTATAAAATGATTTTATTCATTTTTAGTTTGTCGAACTGATGATGGAGCTGGACTCCAAAACGTTTTCAATATCGATATGGTGAATTTGCTTGGTGTTTTCTTCTCTTTTAAAATCCTCGTGAACTTGCTAAATAAGCAGACTGATAATATAAGTACTTTGATAGAAGCAATTTAGAATGATATATAAGGAAAATATAATAAATATAATTTTGAATGATATATAACTAGATGTAATTTTTTCAGTTGATGGAATATAATTTTGAAAATTGTCAGTTGACGAAATTTGATTTAGAATATCGTTAGTTGATGAAGTACAATTTAGAATATCGTCAATTGAATAAACACAATTTAGAATATCGTTAGTTGATGATATATAATTTAGAATATCATCGCTTGATGGTATTTAATTTATAATTTCATCAGTTGATGAAAAATAATTTATAATATCGTCAGTTGATGAAACATAATATGTAACAGACACTTCAACTCCAACTGGTCCTAAAATTGAACATTGAGCAATATAACTAATTTAATGGGCAGTGTAAAGTGTGTAAAATGTAGATAGGAAGGATCAAAATCAAAAGAGAGTCTCATGCAACAATTGAAATTTATAGTCTCTATTGAATTATCTTCTGCCTTTTCTCGGCCGTTGATGATTATTCGATGGCCATCGAAAAAACCGGCTAATATAGCCGAATCAGGATGGATGCATGAAAGGATAATCCACGTTCATTATATTATAATAATTTAGTTCATTATATTATAATAATGTAGTTCATTATTCAAGTCTTTTATACCTCACATCCTCCCAGCCACAACATACGACACCCATTGATCTTTCAAGAAGAATTTATGAGTCTTTATTGTGCCAATAGTGACACACTTTATTACCCACAACACGAACAGAGAGCTTACGGCTGATACTCTTATTTTTGACGGGCTACGCTGAGTCAGGTTAACCCACCCAGAGGTGAGGGGTAAAAAGGTTAAAAGTGAAAGAATTTAACTCAGTACTCACTGCAGTGAGTGACATTTTCTCGTCGACGAAAACGTGAAGTCACGGAGAGACAGACAGACGTACGGTCGGACGGACAGACGGACGGACATGACGAGCACAATAGGGCATTTTTTCCATAATGAGAAAATGCGCTAAAAAGGGTAAAATGTGGAGTGTCAGGGTTATGTGGCTCGTATGTTTGGGGTGGATGCAGTTATTCAGTCGGTAACCGAAGAGAATTCATTAATCAATAATGAAGGGCAGTCTATAGCACGAATAAGCCGTAATTTAATAACTCTGTATTCTATAGCGAAATATTAGAGACACGCAACAAGATTAAGAGTTTGTGGGATAGATAGGTTCGGCCTGTAGGTCCGACCAGTCACAAAATTTATACGCTTAAATAAGTTGTGCATTGGCTTATCCTTGTCTATATCACGTATGATTGCTTCAAATAAGAATTATCTTACAACACAAATGAAAATGAAATAAAATTGCTTTGGAAGCTCACATTTCAAGTCTGGGAGAACGTGATCTGATTTTGACACCAGGCCTAGCATTGAAGGTAAAAATGAAGGTAATGTCGGAATGAAAGACAAAGAGTGTTTAAAAGAGACGGACGACAACTGCACTTACATGGATCTCTATTTGTACAAACTCTCACTTTATTTCTCTGATTGATCAAGAGATCGTTTTTAGTTATTTATTTCGAGACATTAAGTTATTTCTTGTTGTTTCATTATTTAAATTGAGGCATTAAGCTATTTTTTGTTGTTTCGTTATTTAAGCTGAGGCATGATGTAATTTCTTGTTGTTTCGTTATTTAAGTCAAGGCATAAAGTTACTTTTTAATGAGGTTCAATGTGTAGATTAGGCTGCTACTTTTCTACCGGGACTTGAACTTAGAGATAATCTGTATTTGAAGATGAGCTCAAGTTCTAACTTGGCCAGAACTTCAATAAAAGTTTTATTAGAACTTATTGTTACATTTTTATTCCAAACTTGACGACAAAAGTTCATAAGTCGTATATTATTACAGCTCCTGGCGGCCATTGTGATAATGAAGCCTTGAGGCATATTAATTGAAGATTCAATAATCATCCAGAGTATTGTATCATTTGTGTTATAAGATATAGAGAATTTTTTCATCATTTTAATTAAAGAAAGATTTAGTTCCCTCCACAGTTTCCTTCCATTATTTCCCCCAAAAAATCAAGGATTTTCCAATACATTATTTTCCAGCGAATTATTTCCCCATGCTTGTCCAGTTTTCGTGCGCAACATAACCCATAATTACGGAAAAAAAACATTTCGCTTACCGGAAGTTACCTTCGAATAGGGCATTGACTTAATTATATTAGGCATTTATGTTGTGAAACTTTTGTATCACTATATGGTTTTATTTTACTTCGGGGAATTGATATTATATAAGATGTATAATTACTGAACCCTGTATCAGATAACTAGTTAACGTATAAGCATTTAGTACCATTTGTCTGCACGCTGCATGCTCTGCAACTCTAAAATTGCGCGTTCTTAAGATTCCATTATATAAAAATTTCATGAAACAACTTTACATCAACTTGCTCTAGAGCAACAATTTGGAATGTTTCAGACCGAACAATAAGTTCGTGATATTTTATGGACTGCACCAACTTGGAGGCACTCGTATTTTCTTCAATATTAATTTAAGTGTACGAAAGATAGTTTGGGTCATTAACCGTTTAGATTAAGCTAATTAAGTACAGTTTTGTACTGGAGTCCCACACAATTAATGATTTTTTTGTAAGATGTGAGGCTAAGACGTTCAGTGCTGCTCTGCAGAAGGTGATGTTGGTAGATTTAAAGGTTATAATTGTAGAAGCAAAGATAGCTTGGAACTCCAGCGAACGCTTGAAAAAACTTTACTCATTTCTCGAAGCATACATTATTTGTTACAAGTTTCTTTACGGACTTGTTAAGGTGCTGTACTAATTTTTCGTAAGCGTAGCAGGCAGAAAAAATCTATTTCTCTCGGTCCCAACTCGGCCTCAACTGCACATCTGGGATACACGGCCCACTCTACACATCTGAGATGCTCGGTCCTCTCGGGATTGAAAGAAAGTGTGAAAGAAATACATACAAATGAGCGAAAATGTTTATAGCGTCATAGTAGAAGAGAACTGAAAATAAAAATTCAAGCATTTCATAAACTCATTAATTAATTGGAAGAATTTGATTGCCTATTTATTGAACGCGTTCTCTGTAGTTTATTGATGTTCAATTTTCCCTAAGTTTGAACTTGATTGTAAAAACTGAACGAGTGTTGATGAAAGTTCATAGGCTATTCATAACAATACTTAATAGCAGTTTAATATTTCTTTTATATGTTAATATGAAAATGATCAATAAAAATAAAACATTGCAATTATGTTATCGGATTTTTTCAGACAATTTTAAAAGAAGAGGATTTGTCTTTCTTATCAGGATCTTCTCATACTGTATATGTGCTAGTTAAATTATACTTCAGTCCAAATTTCTGTTATAAATGATAAATAAGATAACATATTGATAATATTAACTCTTTAAACTCATTAAACAGAATATATACGTAAAATAAGAGGATCTTCTTCAAATTTAATACGATCATATTTTATTCATAATCATCAGGAAATATCCAGCATCCTTCAGCCACAAAAAACGCCTTCAGAAAAGTATTGAATTATTGAACCAAGCGACATCAAATATGAGGAGCTGACAGTTCCCTTGAGGCTTAAAACAATAAAATTTCTCTCTAGAAGCTTAACTGAGGTTAAAAATTCACACAAAGCGGGTATGTTCGATGCTTTATTCAGAATAAATAGCTTAAATTATGCAGTTTTCAAAGCATCGGAGCGATACAAAATAGCTGGACTCATGTTTTACTATCAACCAGCCATTCACTTTGTGTAACGATAAAATTCTGGGCTTTAAGATGTATCTCGATGAAATTGTATATTGGAATTTTAATATATAGCAGTACGTATATATTAAATATATTTTTATTGATTACGAAACGTCTTCTGTGTTTCTTGCGCCTACTCAAAAATATTTAATAGGTCATGTTGTTCCATTGATGCTACTGCACACACCTGGTACTACAACATATTGTGTACTGCAGTTTTAGTACATTGCTACGTGAAAGTACTCCTCTTAATTTTCTGCGAGTTTTAAATACAGTACAAAATGTCTTTAAAAAAGTTGCCACATTGTTTTTACAAATTTCACTTTTTATCACTATGAAGATATTTTGTTTAGTTAAAACCAGCATAACGAATTATTACAACAAAAGCAAGTCATCGTTAGTAGCATTTTATTCTTTACCACGCTTTTTATGGTAAAGAATTCAATTCTTCTCATCAAACTCAATTCTCTACAAAGTTTGTATTTGTTATCAAAGTTGAGCAGCCGATAACTTGAACAACAATCACGAGGTCAAGTTTAGATACGAACTTCTCCCTTCAGTAATATTTCAGTGTGATCGCTGATTTGGAATTTTTCAATCATTTTCAAAATTCCTCCGTGTCGTAACTGAGTTTAATTCCTCTGACTATTTCATAATGTTCTTGTGTAATCGCTAATCCTAATTAATATTTTAAAAAAAAATGTGCATTGCTTTTTGCCGCTGCAATGATAATTTTTTCCGTAAGGAGAAAAAATTGTAACATCAATTTTTATGCAAGCGATGAACCATTTTTGCGTTAAGAAAACTGTGATGAGAAC